CACAGCTTGTGTTTTTTTTAAACTTTGGTTTTTGTACAAATCCAACAAACAAGAAATAATGTGTTAAGTGATGACCTTGGGAGGTGTTGGCTGCCCCTGCTCCCAGTCTTCAAGCTAAGCTGAGCTATAGCTTCATATTTACTGTACAGACATGACAGTGGTATCAATTTTCTCCTCTAATTCTCAGCAAGAAACTGAAAATGTCAAACCATTCTCTCACAGAACAATAAAGATGCTTTTCTTTACTTTCATCCAATGCAGTCAAATGCTTCTCATGTTTCCTGAGCTGGCCTTGCTCTAATCAATATAATGCTGTCTTGTCACCATGTCCAAGAGGAAGCAGACTATCATAACCAAGATCAGCTGAAAAAAACATGAATATGATCCTGTCTTGGACGTTGAGTTAAGTCCCGTTGCAGAGCCAAAGCCCCTGGCAGATTAGCTCTGATTGAAGGTCCTGAAATTACCTCCAGACTTGGTCAAATAGTTGGCTTAATGAAGGGCAGCTAATGGAGCAGAGAGCTATGCATGCATGTCATGTATCCATGCGTCCCATCATCAGCAGCGCTGGGAGCAGCTGAGTTCATTTTACGCTGACTGCTGAGGCCTTGTTTGTGGAATCAGTTTAGGAAGATGTATTTCTAATACTCCGATGTGATGATGAGGTTTTCAGTGGATTTTAGGTCAAATGCTTCACAAGTGAAAGGGTTTATCCGCAGCTGAAACATCTTTTCTTAGCCTCATTGGATTCACATCCGCTCATATCTTGATGCGTTTTAGTGAAGTGGAATTCTTTTGGTCTCTGCACAATTTGTTTCCTTCATGATTAAGAGCTGCGTAGCTCAAGTTGTTTCATCTCCTCCCCTCTCCAGATGGCAGCTATTTGAATAGGCATGCAAGCTTTGATCAGCAGATGCCGCTCAAAACAAAGACAATAATCTGACGTACGCCTCGATGTCAGTATTTAACCATGTTATATATTTTCACCAACTGTTTACTCTGGGAAAAGAAACACAAAACTTGAGCTGTTATCTTCGAAACATGCTAGGGTGAATTTCAGTAATGCTACAAAGTCTGACTGACAGCTACCGAGTCTAAGTATTTGGCAAAGTTCTGTGCAACTGTGGCTGCATGTGCATCTGCATGCATTTGTGTCAGACTCATTCGTCCCAATTTTTGTGTGTTTTCCCCTCTGTGGAGGAGCTGGCAGGCGACAGAGCCATCATCATCTGGGCGTAGAAATGCCTCAAAACACAAAGAGCCCCATTCAGAGTCCTCAGCAGCCGTATCCCACACCCACACAGTCAAGAGGACACCCAGACCCATCCAGCGCACAGCCTGGAGTCATTACTGAGAGCAATGTGTACTTACGCAGCAGTAAATCATTCACAGGGAAACATTAAGCAGAAAAGGAAGGTTCAGAGAAGAAGAAATGATGGAACATAAACCTGCTGATCACCACATCTGACTGGGAGCTGTCTCCCTCCTGCTATCTCATCTGCAGCGATTTACGTTCATCAAACATAGAGGAATTATTCCAACAGCTTACAACAATATCTTCAGCTATTTGAGGAACTCAGGGGTCCACATACCGGGTGTAAAGTGAGTCTGGTGCCAGCAGGTTCCCTGGACCGGGCTGTCAGAGACAGAGCCGGCAGAAGTCTCAGCGGTAGACGGAGAGGCCCCAAATTTCTGTGAACTCAAAAAACAATGATGAAAGAATACTAAAGGGGTGGATTGCCCACTCCAGGTCGGGGGGAGGTCCTGCCTCAGGTGGAGGAGTTTAAGTATCTCAGGATCTTGTTCACAAGTGAGGGTAGGATGGAGTGGGAGATTGACAGGCGGATTGGGGCGGCATCAGCAGTGATGCAGACGCTTAACTGGTCCATTGTGGTGAAGAGGGAGCTTAGCCAGAAAGCAAAGCTCTCGATTTACCGGCCGATCTACGTTCCAACCCTCACCTATGGTCACGAGCTCTGGGTAGTGACCGAAAGAACGAGATCGCGAGTACAAGCGGACGAAATGAGTTTCCTCCGCAGGGTGGCTGGGCTCAGCCTTAGGGATAGGGTGAGGAGCTCAGACAACCAGGAGGGACTCGGAGTAGAGCCGCTGCTCCTCCACATCGAGAGGAGCCAGTTGAGGTGGTTCGGGCATCTGGTAAGGATGCCTTCCGGATGCCTCCCTTGGAAGGTATTTCGGGCATGTCCAACCGGGAGGAGACCTCTGGGCCGCCCCAGGACACGCTGGAGGGATTACATCACCCGGCTGGCCTGGGAACGCCTTGGGGTTCCCGCGGAAGAGCTGACGGAAGTGGCTGGGGAGAGGACTGTCTGGGCTTCTTTGCTGAGGCTGCTGCCCCCGCGACCCAGACCTGGATAAGCGGAGGGCAACGAGTACGAGTACGAGTAAAGGGGAACTCCACCAATTCTTAAGGGTTCCTGGTCTAGACCCAGTTTTACTCCCCATGTCAGCGTGGGTTTCCTCCAGGTGCTCCAGCTTCCTCCCACAGTCCAAAGACATGCAGGTTAACTGGTAACTCTAAATTGTCTGTAGGTGTGAATGTGAGTGTGAATGGTTGTCTGTCTCTATGTGTCAGCCCTGTGATAGTCTGGTGACCTGTCCAGGGTGCACCCAACCTCTCACACAGTGTCAGCTGGGATAGGCTCCAGCCCCCAATAAATCGATTTATTTATCGCATAATATAATTCAAGGTACAACTCAAGTGAAGTGGCACTGAATCATAACACAAGTTAGACATTAGAACAAATATTTACCGATTTAACAACATGGCTGCCAATGTCTGATAACTTTGCCTCGAGTGATGTCACTTGAGTGAGCGTCGGTTAAAGACTAAGTTTGGAAATGAAGTGAGCTCACCAGACCTCTGCAACCCGCTCCTCATTGCTACATTAGCCCCTGCTAGCATAACACACCCAGATCTCAGGTGGAGCAGGTGGAACTGTCAGCGGTTGACTGGCATTGTGGGTAATGTAGGCACCGTGTTTTGACAAGGAAGAAAAACGTGGAATAAAAACAGACCATATCTCTAGTCCAGCTGCATCAGTTTTCATATTTTTTGTTTGCCAAGATTCTAAATGGTGTTAGCATACAACTTAAAACAATAATGAAAAGCCTAAGGTGGCAGGTGGCAGGTGGTGGTGCATTCAGTGTCTTGCCAAAGTTCCCAGGATGGACAAGTGCAAGTTATATGTTTGTGACCAGTAATGTTCTCACCTTTTATGCTGCGTTCAGGAATTTTATGTAAATATGTTTAGTTTAGTTTAGTTTAGTTTATTTAAGAAGGGACGGTGCAAATTAAAAAATACAAAAGGCATTTTTTCCATCCGTTGCTCCTTGGCCAAGATGTTACACAAGAATGATCATCAAATGTGTGATTCAGTGATTAAACGTGAGGTAAAATTAATGCAATATAAAAGGACATACAATTTTTTAAAAGCACAACAGGCAGAAGTGACATATTTCCATATAGAACAACATAGCAACTCTAGCAGGACATTAGTAGCAGCATCAAAAGTTTAGTGCTTAGGTATGTATGTTTTAATCATCCATTATTGTAAATGATTAGTGAAAGATCTAGAAGTGTTTAGTACTCTGATATGAATTGAAATGGCAGTGATGGAAGTGCAAGAGCAACTGTGGTTGCTGTTTCCTGCCTCTTACCATGGGCTTGTTTCTGGTGCGACATGAGTGCTTTAATGAGATTTCCAAAGTGCAAAGATCCTTAATTTTTTAATGAGCGCGACTCCCAGGGTGAGACAAAATCTACAGCGTGGATGCCAGGGTTGAAAATCATCAAAGGCTCTGAAATCAAACACACTGGCACTTTCATATCCCGCACTGAACCGTCGCCTTTCTATCATAAATCTGAAATTTTATGTGGCTTTGCAGTGACTGCGATGAAATATGACACTTGGACCATGGATACGTCCTGCAGCAGCCCACGGCACAGCACAATGCAGAGTTCTTCACCTCTGGAAGCTGCTGATTCTACGTGTAACCCCACACCACTGCAGGCCAGGCAGAGCCATTGACTTCACCCATGATTTATTCATGTGAAGATGTTTTGAAACACATTTGCATTTATTAAAAGTCACTCAGTCTAAATAATGGATTGTGTAATGTGACACTGGAGATGAGTCAGTGCTTGAAGACCTATGACACCACCTCATTATCAGTGTTAAAAGGCTGCAGGAGGGCAGAAGGAGGCCAAAGATCTCGCTTCAGTCTTCAGTCTAACTTAAAGGTTTATATGAAAGGCAATCACGCAGGGGAATAATTGAACATTTTCTCCCTTACATGCATGATGGTGCACTGTCAAGCTTTGATATCTCTCTAAATAACACTCACATCTGGGGCGAATCGTTAAAAATAGTCCCGACTGAAGCCCAAAGACAAAGCTTAATAAAACACACGTCTGCAGCCACTTGTAAATAAGGTCAGTGATATTAACTGTGCAGGGTTATTCCTACTCTCATGAGCTTCTGTTATCTACAAAGCACACACTGCCCCCTGTTGACCAAACACAAAAACACAGGCAAACAGCTGCATCACAAGCATTTAATTTTTTTAAAAACAAAGCTCATTTATAAATCATGTTCGTACAAAAAGTCAGTAGAGAGCACACTTTGGTTATGTGCAAGTGCTTTGTTGCAAGCAGACAGTGTCATAGTGATATAGCTTGAAATACTTATACTACATCAGGTCGCAGTGTCACAGTATTTTTTTGTGTGTGTGAAATTGAGGAACCAGTTTAGCAGAATTTCATAAAATACATATTTTTCCTCTTACCTGTTGTGCTATTTATCAGTCTAGATTAGGTCTGTGGATTATCTTGAGTAACCAGGTCATGATTTCTGGAATCTTTCAAATGTATATTTTGGCGCTTTGAGCACCACAAGCCGAGTCCCATCTGGTTCCATTATATTTGAGAGAAGGCAGACATCTCTACGGCTGATATCTCCAGCACTCTGCAACTCACACCAAAACAATCTAGACAGATAAACAGCACTACAGGTGAGAGGAAGAATATGTATTTTTGATTTCAGGGTGAACTGTCCCTTTAAAGTACAGTAGTACCTACGTAGAAAAGCTTACCAAGACATCTTCATGATGTCACATACTGATTGAAAGATCCATCTGGATTATAACTATACATTTCACTGTGAACTACAATCAGAGCAATTATATGCTGAGGATTGCTCCAACATACTTCATGTTGAGCTTAGTTGAAACTTGTGTTACCAACACCCTCTGTCTCTACCCCCCTTTAACTGTCATTTCCAGTTGTGGGATTCTTAACAGTCCGTGGCGTCTTTGTCGTTTTGGCCGCTTTCTCTTTTTTAACCTCCTCCTTCTTCGCCACCACCTCGTTCTCCGCGACCTCCTCATTCTCAGGCTTGGGTGCGACCTTCCTCAGCCTGTGCTTGCCCTTGATGGGAGCTGCGAAAGTGAGCGAAGACTTGAGGAAATCCAGAGGGAAGATGCCCACGTCCCCGTCGAAGCGGTTCTTCGTCACCTGCAGGGACCTGCGGCCGGGACACGTCACCAGCTTCTTCTCCTGCAGGATGAGGACGTTGTCGGCTTCTTGGCTGGCCTAAAGGGGGTTAAAGGTCAAGACGCTTCTAAGGTATGTTGAATAATTGCAGTTTTGTGAAGAGAGTCAGGACACATTTTAATGATAGCGTCAACTCAGTGTGTTTCAGGTTGTTTCCAGCTACAAAAGCAGCATGACATATATGAGTAAATTAATATAGGGAAGGTTAAAAAGATTAAAAACACACAGAAATAAAAGGAGATAATGTGTTTCAAACCCAAGTATATACACTAAGTACTATTAAAATGGCTGTAGATTTGATTTTGATTGTCCAAGATTAGTCAGGTTATGTGCAATGGTTGATCTCTTCCTCTGTCATTGTGTAAATAAGGAAAAAAATATAAATATATATTTTAAAAATTCTTTAAAAAATATCTATTGTAAAAATTCCTGAAAGAATCTAATTTTCTTTTTGTGCTATGCCTTTAAAGTATACAACTTTTTTTTGCTTATTTTTGCTCATTATTGTTCATTAATTTTATTTTATCCTCTCATCCTCTTAAAAGAAAAGAAAGTACTATATACTATATATTTATTTTTATTTTATTTAATTTTCTAAAAAAAAAAAAAGTGCACAAAATTTAAAATGAAATTGTTTCTATAAATAAATAATAATAATGATATAAAACAAATAAATAAACTTACATGACTGATTCCATTAAAATCTATTATTATAAAATTAGTTATAAAATGGAATCTGTCACTGTTCCTCCCGTTTCCCTTTCAGGTTAACTATACTGTATAGATCTACTTATATTATATACGTCCACTATAAAGTCCCTAATTTGCTGCACAGTTTAGTTTAAAACAAAAATGTGAGATGTTTTTCTGTCTTACCTTCGCTGAACCAAAGATTGACGCAGTTTGCAGCTCTCGGTCATCCTCTTCTTTCCGCGGGTGAATGATCAGAGTGACGTGGCAGCTGCTGTTGGTGGCAAACTTCCTGAACACCCCGATGATGTGGTCCTGAACTGCAAACCTGGATCACATAAAACATAATTTAGTTCCATATTTCTCATTGAAAAATATCACGCCTAATGAAACAGAAACTTGTACAGGGTAGACCCACTTGTCTACGGAGAGGTTTTCCTGCCCCATCATGAACTGCAGGTTGTCGATGATGACGTGGTTGATGTCATACAGGTAGACAGCATGTAGCATTGTGTCCAGCACCGTCCTGTAGAGGGGGTTGAAAGAAAAGGGTCAGACCAAAATGATTCATATAGAAATACTGCTTTTATATAGTAAATAAACTAAGCTGAAACTTATATTCTTACATCAACTGTTGAGGTAATTACCTAATGTTCTGTTCTTGCCTGACGCTCACTAATAATTAGCAGTTACATTATGCTGACTGGGATTAAAAAGAAAGACGCACGTATCCACTAAAACAGGCTTACTTGATGTTCTGCTGCCCGTGGAACGTCATGAAGTAAAGCGGCAGCTCTTCAAACTTGTCTGCCCAGAAGTCGTACTGCTCCAGGTTTTCCTCCAGCCTCTGCATGGCAAACTGCGTCAGCATGATCTTCGCCAGACGCACGTTGTTGATCTCAAAGCTGCCCCATAACGTGTTGACGCCCTGCGTGCAAAGATCCAGAGCAAGCTCGCTGATAAACGTGGTCTTCCCACTGCCAGTAGGACCTGAACAAAGAGACATACATATTAAGACTAACTATTAAACTGTAGACTGTGTAGAGTGGATAAGAGATAATAACATGTAATGTGTTTGTTTACACCTCATATTCAAACTTGACAGGTCCAGAAAATGTAACACACAGCCCTAAATATATTCTTTCTTTGGGGAAATAAAAACATTGATCTGTGGTGTGGGTGTATTTTTATGTCTTATTCTTTCACATTTGTAATCCATTTATAAACAGTAAAAAAACAGTAGCATCATCATCAAAAATTAAATTATTTAGGCTGCTTGTAATTCATGATTTTGGCTACATGGGGGCATTAAAACAAGCTGAAAAAACATTTTTTTGCCACCAAATTGTTAGAATTTTTCACCAGCTAGTCTCCAGCTTTGTCTCTCTGGTGTTTTGTAACGTGCAGGTCATGTTTATCAGAGCTTTTATGTTGTAAACTGCCACCTGCTGTGAGGTTTGTGGGCCGGAAAACCAAAACAATGAGCTCAAAGATGCTAAAATGCTCTGTAGAGCTGAGGGGAACTGCAGAGTTGGGTGTTTATTCTCCGAGTGTTGCCATGTACCTGTGAAAACAGTCAGCTCCCCTTTGCGGTGTCCCTTCAGGATCCTGTTGAGCTCCGGAAACCTCGTCCACTTGACTCCAGCCACCTGGTCTGTGTTCACCAGCTCCCCGTACACGTCCTCTCTGAGCTGCTTGAAGGACACTATGGACTTATGGGCCGCCGGGATGGACGATTTGATGATTTGGCTGAAGTTCTTCCCCAGAGCCAGCGCCTCCACAGGACACGGCCGGTACTCCCCGGGCCGCACCAGCGAGCAGCGCCTCAGACCCAGCTTACGTGAAAAGATCTTTGACGCCTCCCAGGAGCGAATGTCGCCTCCAAGCCACAGCGTCACATACTTGAACTGCTCCAGGTAAGGCAGCAGGATCGGTGGGAGGCAGCTGACCCCGCGTGGGAGAGCCACACTGGGGAGTCCTGTGGCCTGGCTTACTGCCAGAGTGTCCAGCTCATGTCCGGTGAGCACCACCTCTGCGTCCATGCGGCCCACCAGGGGGAGGCCAAACAGGTTGTAGTAAGAATTACTCTTTGGCACTGTAGCTTCATTATAAGTCACTTTGTCATTGTCTGTGCTTTGAGCGGAGAGAAGCTTCACCCCCTTCAGGGAGGAGTCGGGTCCACCAAACCAGGGGAAAACCAGACTCTTGGTGGGCTTGAAGAGCCTCACGCTGAACTTCTTGAGTGTTGCATTAGAGACCTTTGTGATCTGAAACCAAACAGCAATACATCATAGTTTTATTGCATTATTCTGTTGATATCTTGTCAACTTATCTTAAATATTTTTTTGTCAGCTTCTTGCCTTTTTTTTGTCATCACTAGTGTTTTTAATTGCCCTGTTCGTTTACTTGCTGTGACTACCGTGTCTGACGCTGTTCAGACTTCTGCAGAATATATTTTCTTTACAGTATATAAGTTTAATAGAGTTTAGGTTTAATCGTATTCCTCACAACTTAAATGACATGCATTTACAACAGTTACAGATGCAAGATCCTTACCAGGAGTGAGTCACGATCTACACATTAAAAGAAAAGATATACACAATATATTAGTTTAAATTATGTAAATGGGGGCTTGCTTGCCTCTTCCATCTTTATCGTCTTCACATACCTCCTTTAATGGATAACTAAAGGCTTATTATGTGAAGTTATATAAGGATTTACTTTCTTTGCTTCTCAATGATTGTGATGTAGATGTGATGGTGTCAGTTGTCCCTTTGATTATTCTGACTAAACTAAACTAAACTAAACTAAACTAAACAATACCTGGAACATGGTTTTAACCATCTGAGCCTCGTCCTCAGTGAGGTCACTGAAGGGCACAGAGCTGGACCAGATCCTCTGCACCTCCCTCTGCTCCCTCTCCCTCTCCTCCTGCTCCTCCACAGTCTCCGGGTATCCCAGCAGCACATTCGGGCTGAGGAAGTCCTGCTCGTCCTTCTGCATCACCTCCAGGCAGTCCTGGAGATCCTCCCAGCTCCCTTCCACCAGCGTGTCTTTGCACAGAAACTGTCCGGTGGTTTTGTCGATGAACAGGGAGAAGCTGTCCCCTCTGGCAGACGGCTGGACGAAGATGCTCTGGATGTGGAGGCAGCTGTAGCCATCATGGATGGGAATGTCTTTGGAGCGCAGATACTGTTTGATGTCTGTGACTGTGATGGGGCTCACAGGAAACTCTACAGTAGACTTTGCATCCTTTTTATAAGCTCTGGTCCCACTGTGTGCCAGGAAGTAGTCTGTGTCCACAAGCTGTAAATCACAGGGGGGCCTGTGAAGGAGTCTGTGGGTGAGATGTGTCCCACAGAGGGGTGGGAAGTGTCTCTGGTGGAGAAACTTTGGGGCTGCCACCTGCCTGACACAGGCGGTGCCCCTCAGCAGCAAGCTCCTCCACATAAGTTATCTGGTTGGGACATTCAACCTGCAACACACATGAAAACAGCATGAAGCATCACAGCAGATGTCTTTGGTGACCTGTGCTAATGTAAGGACAGACAGGCAAACAATGAGGCAGAAAACCGTTATTTATCTTTATCAAACGATCACTGACTGGACATTAAAATGAGCTAAAATGTGCGCGAGAGCATTAACTATAAACATACTGAGTTAATTCAAATAACAAACACACAATAAAACAACTTACTGGCTCTGCTGTCTGTCCTCATTTTCCTCCATGCTCCTCCAAGCCCGGGCTTTGCAGTGCGTTGGCAAAACAAGTCCGTGTGAAACATACGGCGAAAGGTATCGAGCTGCGTTTATATGTTCATGCTACATTTTAAAATATTTAGAATATGCGCATTTATTTAATATATCTATGTCACAAAATTGAATTACACTCAGCACTCTAATTGGCTGAAGGAAATAGTCTTTTAAAATATATATTTTCTTTAGCGGTCGGGTCGGTTGTATGTTGTTTCCCGCCGGATCATTTCATCGACGGACCGCAGCACATTCATGCCCGTCAACTTGTCCTCTGTGAATGTTGCTGCTAGCTAACGTTGGTTTAGTCTTGTCCAGCGGTTTATATCAATATTTTAATTAAAATATAACCGTTAATTGACGGTTGACGATGACATCCAGAGGGACACCGAGTCGCTTCCTGAAAAGCGTCCTTCAGAACGGTGTCGGCCGTTACGTCTGCCAGCTGAAACGAGTCTCCATCATCTTCTCTAAAAATGCACAGAGCTCCCTGGGAGTCAGGTAAAACAAACTGTTCACATAAATATACCTTATTACAGGTGACGTGAAAGCCCTGACCTACTGAAGTAAAACTACAGTAGCATTATGAGCTAAATGTGTCTTGTTGCATGTCAAGATGTTGTCAGACAGCAAAGTTAACTTTAAGAATTTAACCCTCTTCAAAACAAGATAGTGAATAATACTTGAGTTTCTTATCATTTGTTTTACATTTAAATGCCTGCTTTCACTTTCCTAGTGTGTAACCTTCCTGATATATACTGTGTGTTGCCGCCATTTGTTGTGTTGCTGTTGGGTTCCTAGCAGCTTATTGTCCTCCACACTTCCTTTTTTATTAACACATATTTTTATTGTTATTTATAACAACATATAGGCTGCTACACAACATTGCAAAAGAAAAACTAAATAAAAAACACATCCATGTGTACATACACCCAGGTACACACATATACAGATACCTACATACATACAGAAACTTTAAATCTCATCCAGAGCATTACTGATGTCAGGTATTGGATCAATCAATCAATCAATCAATCAATCAAATTTTATTTATATAGCACCTTTCAAAACAAATCAATGTCATTCAAAGTGCTTTACATTTTGAAAAAATACAGAGAATAAAAGTAAAATCAGAAAAAGGACTGGAAAACTAATGCACACTGTGTCATACAATAATAATTTAAAACAATAATAGAAGATAAAAACAAGATCAAAACTACTGTGCTGCTACTAAAAAATAATAAAAATAAATATTTGAAATAACATGCAGGATAAAATATAAAATCAAAGCCAGGAGAATAATAGTAATAAAAAGAGAAAAATATAGATAAGACCACTGAATAATAACAAAAGTAAAACAAAACAAAAAAAATGGATGGCCAGAAACTTTCTACAGCTAAATGAGGACAAGACAGAGATTTTATTAACAGGTCCAAAGGCTCTTAGACACCAAATTAGCACTTTGCTGTCTCCCCTACCAGCATATCAAAAAATTAGGTGTAATTATTGATTCTGATCTTAAAAACTTTCAAAAACACATTTGTAATATCTCATCTCATCATCTTAAAAATATTTCTAAAGTTAGATCCTTCCTTACACGCTCAGATTCTGAAAAGTTGCTTCATGCATTTGTTTCCAGTCGGCGTGATTATTGTAACGCGTTTTTTGCTTCACTAGCAAAGCAATCACTCACTAAACTTCATCTTATTCGGAACACTGCAGCCAGAGTGCTAACCAGAACCAAAAATCTTCTTTTAAAAGCAAACTAAAAACTTTTTTCACAAGCTTTTAATCAGGTCTAGTGTTTGTATTAAAAGCTTCCTCTTCTAACGTTTTATATATTATCCTATTTTATATGTACAAAATATTCTTGTTTATTTTTATCTTATATGTTTTATATATGTATTGCCTATGAAATGGTATCTTCTTGGCATGTATGATTTTATCTGCTTTGCCTTTTTAAGCACATTGAGTTTACGCTTGTTGTATGAAATGTGCTATATAAATAAACTTGACTTGACTAAAGGAGCAGGCAGTTGCACGAGATAAAGGCCCAGTCAGGGCTTATCCTCTTATGACTGGTTACAGGAAGATGTAAAACAATAAAGAAATGTGACTTGCTTCCATGGAGCTTCGATAAAGTGGGGTTTAGAGTCTAGCTTTTATATATTCCATAAATGGATTCCAGATTTTCATTCTTAGTTTCACAAGTTTGAGTTTGCTGCATCAATTCGCTCAACCACTGAGTCCAGCTTAAGGGATGAGGGTTCTTCCAGTGGAGAAGAGTTAATTTCTGTGCAAATAAAGTGACAAAATGTTATTATACTTTGAATTTAGATGCTGAAAGATTCTTATTTTCTTCTCCTGCTTTGCCAAAAATAGCTGTCAAAGGATGTGGGTACATTTTCATTTTGAAAATATCTGATAGTGTTTTGAAGTTCAAACTCCAGTAAGACGTCTGCACCTGTCACAAGTGGATCAATCAGCATCTGGGAGCATTTTAGAGAGTTTGACATTTGAGAAATGATGGCGATGCAGCACCTTAAATTGAATGAGGCCACGCCTGGCACACATTGAGGCCGTGTCCCCACTGCAAAGTGTAATGTTATAGTGGACTAAACAGTGTAACAGCCAAATTCCTTTATGTTAATTTGTACAGATACAAAGAAAATTCTGATAAATGTTATTCATTTGAATTGTATATAAATCTAAATACTACCTACCAAAAACATGTCATGGTGGGAATCTGTAGACATATGGTGTTGCTTCAAGGAAACATTTGCATTTCATCTCTTTTCTATTACTTAATAATTGAATACTTAGTATGCAAAACAATTAGAAATCAAACATTTCTAATTTAATATTGTGATTCCAGTTTTAGCAGATTTTAAATTAACAGAAAAAGCTGTTTTCAGACTCTTTTTGGAGAAAGTTGATGGAGCTGAATGATGTGAGGAAGGTCCAAACACAGGGACTCAACATGGCCTCCAGAAAGTCATAGTACAATACAAACAGTGCTGTTTTTGAAGTATTATTGTATGTTGTTAATCACCAAAAATGGGTATGTTACCCAGAGGCAACACAGTACCATAAAGGGGTAAGTGTAGCGCTAGAATAAATGTTTTTGGTTACATTCCACTATGATCAGTAATGAAAATAATCACCAGTTGCAGCGTTAAAAAAAGTCATCTTAAGATATTCTTTGTCTGGTTACTTACCACTAATAAACCAAGACAGAAAAATGGCACTGTATACAAAAGACACTGACGATCATCATCATCATCACCAGAGTGGCCACATCATCATCACCTTCTTTTCTGTCAACTTTCAGAGAGTTCATTGAAGAGGGCGTGGTGGATTATGCCAAAAACAACCCTTCAACAGTCGTGTATGTGTCTCCTCAGTCGTGCAGGATACCCAAAATAGTCGCAGAATACTGTAAGTGTTCACGTCTTTGTGTTTTAATGGGATATTTAACTAATAGCACACACTAGCACGTTTTTATGTATAAAATAATGCTTTATTTTGCAGCTCCTAGGTTTTCTGAATACTTTTAAGAATGTTTGTAAGTATGTAAATTGGTTTAAATTACAGGGTGACTCATCGGTTATGTGAGTTAAACTAGTAGCAGATGTTGATTTCCAGAGAAATATATTTTAAAGATCTGACACAATCTTAACTGGAAAAACATACTTACTTTAGATCCCTTTGAAGCCAGTAAATATCCCTATATGTTGAGTATGCTTCCCTGTAAATCAAAGCTTGGTTTGTGTAATTATTAGTACTAAAATTCTCAGTAATTACACAACAATTTATTGTCACGTATCAGCTCCTTTCTAGGATATTTTTTTTTATTTTTTTTTTTATTTTAATTGCTTTCATGTGAGACTCTTCATGCTGCTGTCTTGGCCAGGACTCTCTTTCAGAAGAGATTTTGAATCTCAGTGGGAATATTCCTGGTAAAATAAAGGTTAAAAAAACATAATAATAAATAAATAATCCACTCAGATCAGTACTGCCTCTGAGGGAGGCCTGGTACAAACATTAAAACCAGCACTAAAACAAGAAACGATGACAAAACCCTTTCATTAATTCACTATTATTGATATTAGAAATTTTTTTTGCAGACTTTTGAGGCAAATATTTCTATTTAAACATCATAAAACATCAAAATGCTACTGGTTTGAAATCAAATGACAGATGGCAGGTGAGATAGGTTGTTACTACTCCTGTGTACTGTAGGGGGCAGTATAAAATTGTTTTTTCTGAGACCTCTATTCAGGTAGAAGTGAAATGCCGCTGGGCGTTTTAAATGACTTAGTTAAACAGTCAGAATCATTTGTTCTTGTTGACACTGTTACATTTCACACTAGGCAGGTTTTTCAGTAGTTTAAGTGTGTGTCTGTCCCTTTTGAAGTCACGCAGACTTATCACCTGTCTTTCCTCTCTGCAGTAAACGGCAACGTGAGGGAAGAGATCATCACAAGCAAAACGTCTCCGCAGATTTCAGAGCTTTTGACCAAACTGACCAATCAGTCTGGCCTGGACATCATCCGCATCCGCAAGCCCTTCCACACAGACAACCCCAGTATCCAGGGCCAGTGGCACCCATTTACCAACCGGCCCCCGTCTATCGGCCCCATTGGAATACAGAAACGGGAAGCCGAATAAGGACTAACCAAAACTTAAAGTCAAAACTTGTGCTTAATCTAGGCAAGATATGTTTTTCTTTTGAAGATGTTAACGTGTCTGCTTTGTAAATTAAATCTCGGGTCAAGCAGTCCTCATGTTTGCAGCAATTTGTTGGATAATTCTGCAGAAGACTACAATCCACCATGCTTTTCTGTCTGATGGCAGCAGAGCCACTTCAGCTGTGCAGAAAAGTGCCCACATTACCGAGCCCTGAATGCCACATTTGAATAGACTTTACATGAATCCACCAGAGGCTTGTCAGCAGGCAGATAACTGTTTTTAATCTCAAGGTTATTTGAAGATTCATGTAGTAAAC